CGCCGCCCTGGCCACCATGTGCTCCCAGCTCTGGTTCCTGACTGACCGGCGCATCCGCGAGGAATACCCGCAGGTGCAGATCCTGCGCGCCCTCCGGCAGCGCTGCTCCGAGCAGGACGTGCGCTTCCGGGCGGTGTTCATGGACCAGATCGCCGTCACCGTCATCGGCGGCCACCTCGGTGAGCGAGGCGGGACCTGGGAGAGCTGGGCGGCGCGCCGGGGTCTCTGAGGGCCGTCCGGGTGGGCGCGCTTTCCTGGGCCTCCCGCAGCCAAGTCTCCTTCCGGCCCTGCAAACCAGCCGCTCTCTCGGGCGAGACCCCTTGTGTTAGAGAAAGCCCCTCACCTTCATAACCTCCTTTAATCACTATCATCTGCCCTGAGGCCAAGATTTGAGAAGGTGATTTAATTTACTTAGGGGACTTTGTTTTGTGAGGAACCCAAATTCACCTGCAGCGACCCTGGTGTCCGAGAAAAATCAAGCTGCAAACCCCAAATTTGCAAATTACTCTTTCATCCATACCCTGTCAGTTTAGACTGAGATTTAAGAAGCTAAACTAAATTTGCAAAATTCCTATTATGATGGATGTTTCGAAACTTTTCCAGCGGTGTATATACATCAGTAATGCCCTACATAGAGAATTATACCCAAACCGGGAACCTACATATGGGGAAAACCCAAGGAAGATTGGAGTCACCTCTGAAGTGTAAAGTGGGAGAGGAGACTTTTGATGCGTTTTTTTTTTTTTTTAAACTCAGCCTCCTCCCTAAAAGTGTTGAATTCTTATTCCAGAAAAGCCGTGATTTCAGGTACACATCATTCAATCACTCCACTGCTGTGTCCCAGAGACTTTTTTTTGGGTAAGATGTGGTTGTCATCTCTGACCCTGACCTCAAAAGGTTAAGTATGTTTTCAGATATTCTTAATTATCCTTACTACAAGGCCTTTCTGCTTTAGGAATTTGTGGCTTAGGAACCTCATACCCACTGACTTGCTGATTGTCTCCTTTGCTCCACCAGAGGTGTCCAGCTATTTAAGAGGGTCCAGGACTCAAAGGGGCTTGATTCTAGTTCAGGGTGCTTCTTGGGATACTGTTCATATTATTCTATGGGATTAAACAGGCACATAATTTGTTTCTTTTCTTTGGCAAGGAAAGGGATTCCAAATTCTGAACAGGATACTTACAAGTGAGATTTTGAGTATAACCAGTCTCTAAGTGGAATATATCAGTTGTAGGTCTTCATCCATAGTTTACCTAACCCTACATATGTAATATCAGATTGTATATCCTGTTGAAGAAATACACTACAAACATTAGGTGCCTTATGTTTAAAGAGATGTCTTTCCAATGTAATGTAAAGGGTTTCCTCTCTCTATCTTCGATTTGCTAAAACTCACAATTAGTTAATGTAGAAATAGACTCCTGAACAAGGAGCCTGCAGACCTGGATTCTCATTACAGCTCTGTATCTTGTCTTTGTTTGGGGTAAGTAACTTTGTCTTTAAATCTCAAGCTTCTCGTTTATGAAACTTAGGGTTGAGGTTTCCACAGCTTGAAAATTCCATGTTTTAATGCCATATTTAAATAGGTTAATCTGTTGTATTTTGCTGATCTAAGTTAGATACTGAAAACACACACACACCTAATATTCCCCATGCCCCTGTGAGTTTGTTTGCTTGCTTATTTCTTTATTTATTTTATAGTTTATGAAGATGTCTTTTTTGAGCTACAGAAACCAGAATCATGTTCATTTTGTAGACCCATCATGAATTCTGTGAACAAGTAGAAAAATGCTCTCTGTATCGGAAAAAAAAACATTTTTAAGAATCAGTCCTAGTACAAGAGAAAATTAAACACTCATCCTATAGAAAACATTTACACCCTTTGTCTAGTGTCTTAAAATTTAATGGAATTCATGTGTGGATGTATTCCAATCAGTTCACAAACCAGGAGTTACTTATTTTTAACTACTAGAAACCCTACATAGCTATTTGCCTGGTGATGGAGAAATTGAAGGTAAGTAATTTTTGATGCAGTTTTTATTTCTTGATAATTCAGAAATGGTTACATACAAATCAAAGCACATAAAACAAGCCTATTAGATCACCATTTCTGCTGTTCTTAGCTGTCAAAAGATTTATTGGCTGTGGGAATAGGTTAATTCAAGCACCAGAAAGTTCTGTGAGAAGAGCCACCTTGTTTGCTTTGTTCAGGGCTATGATAGTGACTTGAATGATGCTTTGTATGTAGTAGGCACTCAATTTTTGGATGAATAAAGATGTGAGTTCTATTTCCCAGCTTCTTCTATAGTCAAACTGTAGAAAACCCTCAGCAATTTGCTGAGCCAGTTATTCCCCTGAAAAATACTTCAGGATTCACTTACTTGAAATATATACAGCTATAATGATAGTGATGCTATTTCCCTTTTGAGAATTATAGAATATGAGAGCTGAGAAGGACTTGAAGATCATCCATTTTAACTCCTTCATTTTACAAAGAACTTGAGGCTCAAATAGATGTAGTGACTTCCTCAATACTATCTATCTAGCTAGCACATCCACAGTTAAAACAAAACAAAACAACCTAATATCTGGGTCTTGGAGTATAGCCCTGGGTTCAATTTCTAACACTATAAAACAATCTCTGGAATCCCCCCAAAAAACTTGATATCCTAAATCCCAGCCCATTTATACAGATAATTATGCTTTAGATACCCACAACTTATGGTATCTTTCTCAGTAGATGTGGAATTGAGCTGAATTAAATTCAAATTTTTCTCACTAGACACTGACTTTGCAAGCAATTTTATAATTTAGGAAATTAAGGTACCACCTTTCAAAGTCTTTGTGCCATTACTTCTTTCTTTTCTTCTTTAGATTAGGGTAGGTAGATAATAAAGAAGTTGGTTTGGGGAACATATGGGTGGTCAGTGCCTCAATGAATTGCTTAAATTCATTTGTGAGCTTTCCTCTCCAGAGGCTAATGGGAGACCAAATCCAATAACTTGAATTTCAGGTTGTATCTGGAAGTAGGATTCAGATAAGAGATTCAAAGTTTTGAATTTAAAGGTTGCAATTATTTTAAATAATACTATACATATAAACAGAAAATGCTATACAAATGCAAGGTTTCATGCTTATTATTCTTAATGTAGTAATCTACCCTTCCCCAAAAAGATGGTTGGGGAGGTTACTGGGGCAAGGGGAATGATCTTTAGGTGACTCAAGCAATCCTATAGAAAACATCCTCCTTTCACTTCTGTTGGGTGTAGCATTATGAAAATCACAACTATCTCCCATTTCTTTTTTAGAAGCCACAGTTCTTCATTCATTCATTCACCAAATATTTATTAATTATTCTCAACCCTAAGCATAAGGTGATGAGTGTGACAAAGTGCACATCATATTATTATTATTACTATTATTAATAGCCACGGCTATCTATCTATCTATTTATAGTGTTTTATGTAAGGCATAGGTCTAGGTTTTTAAATTTACATATTAATTCTTATAGATGCCAATGTGGGTCACTGACACATAATAGTGGCTGGGAATTAGAACCAATACTTAGTAATTCTAGTCTAAACATTGTGTGTGTCTCACCCCTTCTGAGCTTACAGTAACTTCAACATATCACTCTATGATTCCTGGCCTTACACTAAAATCCTCTGAGTTGTTCATCTTGCCCCCTCCACATGATGAATTATTATTCATCCCTTAAATCTGGCACAAATCACTCATCTCTATATACAAGTCTTTCTTGAACTCCCTACCATGTCTGCAAGTAGTCACTCTCTTCCATGAGCTACCAAATAACATTTCCATACCTTTAAAAGTTACACTCACCTTTTCAATGTAATGCTTCTATTTACAAGGTTTCTATCCCTTCTCCCCCTGAATAACTGTGGATTCCTCAAATGTATACTCTCTAACTGGTATATAGCAGGCCTGCAGTTCCTGCTTGTAGGATGACTGAGTAAAGTGCCTTAAAGGCTAATTTGAAGTACATGAGACTTTTGTTATAATTAGCTTCTGTGTTTGGGAGATCATGATTAAATGTGTAAATGTTTCTGTGATGAGCCATCATAAAGGACAGATTCACTAGTGACATTAAGTTTTCTTGACCATCTACCCATCTGAATCATAAACTGGCTCAAGAAACTAGTCACTAACTCAGGGACAGAAACCAAAACACATAAAATGAATCCGACCTGGGAAATGAGGTTGTGTTACAGTTTGTCTCTTAGCAGAATGATTCAGCATTCCTTCTCTTACTTTCAGAGCTAAAACCTTGGTGGCCACATCCCTTTTGGGGGGATGTGGGGGATTCTAACCTGGGGCTTTTCATACACTAGGATAGTGCTCTACCATTGAGCTATATTTCCAACCCCATATGATAATTTATAAATCAAGTTCCTTAAATTAAGATGTTCTTGAATTCTTATAGTAATCAGCTAACATTTAAGAGAGTTGAGGGAGGGGAATGTTATGTAAATTTGAAAGAGGCAGTGGTGTACCCCAGCCTGCCAAAAGACAACCAAAGGCCCCACAGAAAGCATGGACCCCATCACCCCATCACGGTGCAAAAAGACACTAGCAGGAAAGGGTGCTAAGCTGACTTTTGTGCAGAGAGCTTGATCTTCTGCTAAAGGCCTTTCTGCTAAAGGCCTGGGCCTGATAACCTTGTAATCTCAGGGATACACTGTGCAGCACTAGTGGAAAAAAAGTCAAAGAATGGGTGGAAGCATTTATTGTATAATGCTTCCAAACTGATGTGAATGTCGCATGGGTATGCTTTGCCCCAGGGGTCCTCATATCTGTAGGCTGACCCCAAGGACTAAGAATGGGTGGAATGTTTATGTTTTTAACAGTCATTTTTAGAGCCACCTCATGAACTGTTGGGAAAAGTTCTAGAACTAGTGAATTGGGATCCTTCATAGATACCAAAGCCTTACTCATAAATTTCCCAACCACCTGTTGCTGCTACCATAATACTTTGACCAAATTTGTTAGGTTTGCCTGGTGGAGGGAGTCCAGCTGTCACTGAGAGATGTCAACCGTCCACAGTTCCTCTCACTCCCCTTACCTGCAGGGAGTCCAAGGACACATAGTGCTAGCCCCTCTTCCTCCAGCCACTTCCCTGGTCACCTTGCCCATTGCCTGAGAGAGTGCACCTTACTAGGGGTTTCTGTTGTTTTAATATAAACCTACAACATGATCTGAAATTCTTGGTCGATTTCTGTTTGATCTTCCACTATTAAAAAGTTACTCAAGTTGGGCTGGGGCTGTACCTCAGTGGCAAAGCGCTTGCCTAGCATGCATGAGGCACTGGGTTCAATCCTCAGCACCACATACAAATTGACATATAAAATAAAGGCATTCTGTCCATCTATAATTACAAATAAAAATAAAAATTAAAAAAATGTTTCTAAGCAGATGGAGAAAAGTGCTGTCACATTAAAAAAAAAGTTACTCAAGTCTATGAGAAAGTGATAAATTTAAATTACTTTGTGTTAAGGAACAAACAGGCATAATGGTTCTTTACGCCTGTAACTCCATTATTATTAATATGTTAACATATGTCTTAATCTTCATAACAGTCCTATTCATTCATTCCATTCAACAATGTTTATTGAGCATCCATTCTGCCAGGTACTGAGGTAGCAGAGAGTAAGAATAGATATGGTCTTCACCTTCACTGTTATGATTTCATTCATTTGTTAGTTTATTCTGTCAACAAATATCTGTTGACTGCCCACCATTCTAAAAGATACCATTCTAGGTACCAGAGAAAAATAGCCAGAGAGCTCTGCCTCTCAAGGAGTTTACATTCTAGATGGGTGAGATAGAATATAAATAAGGTAAGTAGAATAACTAGTATATTGAAAAAGCAAGAAGAAGGACAGAATGTTTCTGGAGGTGAAGGAGGGTTTGCCATCCCAAGGTGGCTAGAGCTGTCCTCACCCAGAGAGGCTATCCCTCTAAAGACCTGAAGGAGGCGAGGAAGCAGGCCATTTAGATATGTGACAGCAGAGGAGGCCAGACAAGCGGGAGAGCAAGGAGGCCAGTGTGGCAGAGCAGGGTGAGCACGGGGGCGAATGTGAGGAGGTTGTCAGAGGCATGTGGGAGACGAGCAGGGAAGGCCTTGTGGGGATTGAAGGCATTCTGTGTGGATGAGCCTGGGATCCAGTGACTTGGGCTCACAGGGTCATTCTGGAAACATTTGAGAATAGACTGGTGGGAGCAAAGACAGGAGCAAGGTGATCCCTTAGGAGGTTATTGCTACAATTCAGGCGAGAGGTGGTTGTTGGACTAGGGTGATTTCAGGGGAGGTGGTGAAAAGAGACTGGGTCTGGGGCATATTTGAAAGACAAAGTGGTCAGGATTTGCCTGTTGGATCAGATTTGGGTGTCCAGGAGGGACCAGTCAAGGAGGACTCCAAAGTTTTTTGGAACTGATTAGGTAAAAGAATAAAATTTGCTATTTACTCATATGGGAATGGAGAGACCAGGTAGTTTGGGGCGATGATATGTGTCAGAACTTAGTCTGAGATGCCCATTAAACCTCCCGGTTGAAATGTCAAGTAGGCAGTTGATGGTAGATATTGGGATCCAGGGAAAGGCTTGGCTTGGAGATAGGAAAGGAGGTGCATATTTATAAGGTGTGCACATAGATGGAGAAGAGAGGGATCCAAGGTAGAGCTCTGGAGCATTCCTGTCTTGTCAGGGGGAGGAGGCTGAATAAAAGGAGTAAAGAAACCCAGGAGTCTATGGTGTCCTGGAAGCCAAGTGGAGAAAGTAGCTCCAGAAGGAAGATAATGCTCAGATGGTGTCAAATGTTGCTGTCAGGTCAAGTAAAATGAGGAATGAGAATTGATTTTACAATGTTATATTAGCAGCTCTAATAAGGGCAGTTTTAGTGAAGTAATGGAAATGACATGCTTTGAAGACTGGCATCTTGGGTGGTTGATGTGAACAGGAATGAAGAACTTGAGGAGACTTGCCTTTGTGATTGCAAAAAAGAATATGTCAGTGAGGTGATGGTGGTGTTGGTGGCGGTGGTAGTGGTGGTAGGGGTAGCTGCAGCGGTAGGAGAAGGGAGGCAAGAGGGTTTGCAAAGCTCTGGGACCCTTCTGTTCACAAAAATAAAACCAAGACCCAGAGAGACTTTTGAGTTTTGTCAAGCTACATGCCTGCAAAGAATGGAATCAGAGCTCTGATGTGAACGCCAGGACTCTATTCATTTGCCATAATAGCCTTTCATCTCATGACACCTTGACTTCTTGGAATGACTGTCCAAGTCTATCTCCTTTCTGAAACTTTCCTTGAATGTTTCCCTCAGGCAGAGATAATCACCCTGAGTGTTTCCCTCTCCTTTGCTGAGATATAAGAATCTATAGGCCCATTAGAGAACTTAGCATATTGACTCTTTTTTTTTTTTTTTTTTTTGGTACTAGGGATTGGACCCAGGGATGCTGCTTTACCACTGAGCTAAGTCCCAAGCCCCTTTTTATTTTTTATTTTGGGACAGGATCTTGCTAAGTTGCTGAACCTCTTCCTAAATTGCTGAGGCTGACCTCAAATTGTGATCCTCCTACTTCAGCCTCCTGAATTGCTGGGATTACAGTCATGCACCACCATACGTGGCCTGACAACTCTTCTAATACCTATGTGCTCTGTCCAGGGCATTAAAGGCATTAATAACAGTTGTGTGTTGTCTTTCTTCTTGAATTCTAGGGATATGGTTTCCCTCACACCCCTTTTGCCCCCATGTCCTTTGGATGGTACCTGTTCCTTAGCTATCAGTTGCCTGCCTGTTCCTTTTGCCCCTTACTATTGACTGTACTGGGCCCCCACTTTCAGCCACTGACTTCTGCACCTCTCTCTGATGGCTATTGTGGGTCACAGGAGCCCATTCTGCCCACATATGCATGGCAGGCCGAAGGGTTGGGGAATTAAAGCCATGCCCTCAGACAGGTTTCAACCAAAGGGTGAGTTGGTGTCCAAAGTTCTAAGTCGCTTGCTCCCAGGCTCCCCAGGTGGAATAACTGAGATGTGTGTACTAATCCTCAGCAGGCCTCAGCTCTAGTAGGTGGTAACTCAAAATACGATAACCTTAGTTTGCCACATTCTCTCCCCCACCAGTGTTTCTTCAAATTCTCACTCAAATAGGCTACTGGCACTTAAATCATGGTCTCAGGGTGTGCTTCTGGGAAAACCCAAACTAGCTGTGGGATTGGCCCAAAGTAGGCACTCAATAAATATTTGCTGAATGAATTCATAAAACAATAAACTTGTTGAATGAGTGAATGAATGACAAAGTCATGTCTCTATCTTTCTCCATAAGGAGACTAAGCTCCTGGTTGGCAGAGACCACCTGGTTCATCTTTGTATTCCTGCTTAATAGTGTGTCTGACTCACACCAACAGTTCCATAAAGGGTGAGTTGAATTAAATGACCTCAAAATAGCCCTTGGTGGAAAGTGAAAGTGGCCACATAACGAACTGTGGGTTTTAGCGAGGTGGAGGTAAAATTTCTTTGGGCATCTGCACCAAGAACTTTTTAAAAGCCAAGGAGCGGTGGTGACAGCATGTACTCGGGAATTAAAAATAACTTTCTTATGAGAAATGCTTTGGATGGAACAGGAAAAAATAAGGGGAAAGCTGGAGAATGACAGGAGCCAGATCATGTTTGGATGATACAGCTTCCTCAGGACAAGCAAGAAAATCCAAGGTGCAACATGGGTTAGCCTCCGTAGTGGTGGTGTTGATTTCTGACACATTTCAGAGCTGCCAACCACTGATTCACAGTTCTGCTAAAATAGAATGGTCCTAAGAGGTACCGTGAGTGAGGGCCTTTGCTCTGATGCTGCAGGGTCCCACTGCTTCTCTATTTCTACTGTTTGCTTTATACATGAAGTTCTTTTGGGGGGAGACCGGGACTGAGCTCAGGGGGGTACTCAACCACTCAGCCACATCCCCAGCCTTGTTTTGTATTTTATTTAGAGACAAGGTCTCACTGAGTTGCTGAGTGCCTTGCCATTGCTGAGGCTGGCTTTGAACTCTCAATCCTCCTGCCTCAGCCTCCTGGGATTATAGGTGTGCCCCACCGCACCCAGCTGTACATGAAGATTTTTTTGTAGCATGTTAGAAACCAGGTTAGTGTTGAAGCTTTCTTTTGTGCTGCCAAGGATGTCGTGTGTGTGCACACTCAAGTAATGCGTGTGCACAGGGTGGGAGGGTGGTGACCCGTTTTGCATCAGTTCTATGTAAAGGCCAAGATATTTATAGTCAAATCTGTTCCAATGATCAGTGTTATAAGATGCCTTTCTTTAAATGGTATGATATATGTTAAAGTTCTTGGCAAAGCACCTTCAACACAACAGATGCTCAATAAAAATGCTAGGTGAATTCGGATCTGAATTATAGCACCTTTTATTACCCATGCTTCTATTCCCTCTATGGGTATGAATGATTGAGAATAGCTTTTAAATTTTAGGGCACTACTTTCGAAAAATGATTTGCTTATTTCACAGTAATACTATTTCTCCTCGTTACGAAGTGCATTTTTTATTTCGGCTATTACACATACAAATGCATAAGTCTAGTTTTGTAGAATTTAATTTATCTCAATATATAGGTTACAAAAAACAGATTCAGTTCTTTGGGAGGGTTACCCTAGTTTTCCATCTTGTTTTTAATATATTAAAATATTTCCAAATGAAAGTAGAGTTTAAAAAGAAATCAGGACCCAATCACGCACGAAAGTAGATTATTCTTTTTAGAAGTAAGTTGGAGAAAATGTTGTTTTGGTTTCAAAAGGTTGACTTAGACTAGGTTGACTGTTGGTCACTGTACTAATTAGTTGGGGTCTGATTTATTTTTAAAATTTAACATCATCATCATCATCATTATTATTGTTCACTACTGTCTTTTTTTTTTTTAACCTGTTTAGGACTGAGTGGTCATTTCAATTTAGTTTTTGTTCTGTTTTGTTTTAAGTAATGAGAGAGTGAGCGTAGTAAGTCACACACCCAGTCTGGAAATCTAGAGGACCTCATGGATCCCAGAAGCAGTGCATCTCCTTTCCTACCTCCCCAAGTTAAAGTGATGCCCAATCGTGGAAAATCCCTTGTTTGAGGACAAGAACTGCTCTCTGTTCAGGGCTTTCCTTCCATTCACTGCAGCTAAACAGAGCCCTGTCCTCCTCATGTCCTGCATCAGCTTCTCATTCCTTTGTCTTGAAGCCTGTAGATTGCTGTGGGAATGTTAAAGATTCTGGGAAAGGTGACAGGTTAAGTAAGCTTTTTTCTGCATTAAGCTTATCAGGTCCTTTCCTGAATAGGAGATGTTAATGAGAGAGAGCAGAGATTACTTACATGGTCAAAAGTCTCAGAATTCAGACACGTTTACTAAGGGCCAGCTTTAAATCCAGATTGTTCTTGGCCATGGTGTTGAAGCGGCTTCTCCCACTGAAGCCATTATGAGGGGCAGCCTTTTGTCTGCCAGAAGTCACACTCTAGAAATGAGATGGAGAAGGCAAGGGGAATGATTAGGGGTCAAGCAGTGTTGCCCAGAGCGAGAATGTCAGAACCGTGCCAGTGGATTAAGATAGAGTCATCCCTTAGTATCAATAGGGGATTGTCCCAGGACTCCCCCCACCCCACACCAATATCTGAGGATGTTCAAGTCCTTTATATAAAATAATGTAGTACTTACATATAACCTACACACAGCCTTCTGTATACATGAAATCATCTCCAGATTACTTATGGTACCCAATACAGTGTAAATGCTATATAAACAGTTGTGGTTCCCCCCCCACCCCCCACCCCGTCATGCTGCAGTCTATCCCAGGGCCTTGCCCATGCTTGGCAAGTGCTCCACCATTGAGCTCCTCACCAGCCCTATTACTAGTTGTTATACTGTATTGTTTAGGAAATAATGACAAGATATACATTTGTGCATGTTCAGTAGAGGTGCATATTAATTTTTTTTGAGTACTTTCTATCCACAGTTGGTTGGATCCGCACATGTGGAACCATGGATATGGAGGGCCGGCGTGATTAGTTTTGCAGACGCACCCTAAAGCCCTCTGCACAGGGCTGGACAGCAGCACAGAGTCAGACACCAGACCTGTCTAACTGCTTGGTGGAGCCTTTTCGGCTCCACTTTAACCCATTCCATTCTTCATTTATTAAAGGCTTCAGTTGGAATGAGCCAGGCCCAAAGATATACCTTTGGAGAAGAGAGATGAAGTCCTGGTAAGACTTCCTAGGTATATGTGAATCTGCTTGTTGAGGCTGAGCTGTCTCTGTGCACTTGTGGTTGGTACTTCCAGAAATGGATTAAATTATTTTCTTCCCACTTAGAAGTTTGTTTGTCTGTGGCTTCACGTTGGGATTTGAAAGCCAGATGTTTTTTGTTGCTTCCCGCTTTTATAGGTCACTTTTCTGTTGCAAAGCCATTTTTCTCATTAGGTGGTAAAAAAATCTCCATAAATTGTCCTACCTTGCTGAGTGGAGTGCCTTGCATATGTATAGCATTTTATGGTTTTCAAAGCACTTTTGCCTATACGATCTCACTGTGTAATGCTGTCCTGGGTGTTCTGTATATACTCGCCATTTCCATCAACTCAGATACTTCTCTTTCTTCTACCATTTTTGAGGATAACACACAGGGTCATTCCCTCCTTCCTTTCATATTATTTTCCCCCAGGGCTATAAGTGGCAAAGGAATATTTCAAAGTACAATAAAAGCATCCCATATGAGTGATACTGCTTTTTGATGACAAAGTGAAGATAACCTGGAGGCTTTTTATCCCTGTGAATTATGTTCTACTTTCTTAGGTTCACACTATCAGCAGGAATACTGAAAACATTTTAGCTTAGTAATTGCACCTGTGCACCCTGCCTTTTCAAATTGGTGAAACATCTCCTACAAGTGTGTTAGATCCACCTAGTTGTTCTGTGGGTTTATTTTTTTGTTTTTGTTTCTGTGCTTAGTGTCCCCCCCTCCCCCGCTTCATTCTCAACTTAGAGCTTTGGTATTGTTAGTATTCATCCCTGATGGAGAAATTGTGTCTACCATGCACTAGGCATGGGTCTAGAGGCTGGATTCAGCAAAGAATACCCAGACAAAATACTGCTTTTATGGCTAGCTCTATGTCTTGGAGTCTTTGAAGATAAGCCATAAATTTTTTTGCATAGAACTCCTTCAATAACTTGAAGACTACTCAGTTTCTTTTGAGTCTTCACGTCAAGCCAATACTCCCAATTAACTCAGTGTAATACAGCTTCAGGTCTTTTCACTGTATGTATTGTCATATATTTCAATTAATATTATTTAATACTGAATATTGAGTTTGATATCTGTTAAATACTGAATTGAATTGATTTTTAGTAGACTGATTTTTAAAATTTTTTTTTGTTATAAAGGTAATATGCACTTGGAGAATTCTGGAAAATACAAATAAATATAAAACATAAAAAAGAAGTTATCTGTAGTTCCATTATCCACTGTTAAAATGTTGGTATATTTCCTCCTAGCCTTTTTCAATTTGTATCTGTTTATATAGTTGAGATTGGAATGCAATATTTATAATTTTGTATCCTGTTTTCCTGTAAACATTGATACTTACACATTTGACAAATAACAGTATATTCATAAAAAATCATTTAAATAGTTGCAGAATGTTCCAGCCAGATAGACTTATTAAGATGAAGTCATAAAGGAGTATGTGGATTCCTGAATGGGGCTGCACTTTTTGCCTTTTCCTCAAGTCCTCCGCCTCCTAAACCACTGTGCTTTAAGTACTTACTACTAGTCCTGTATGGAAGGAAAATGCTGGAATACATATCTCCTGCTGATTCCTCTAATTTGGTTTATTACTGATATGCTGCTCTTTTCCCTTTCTGTTCATTGCTTGGTGTTTCCTCATTATCATTTGCTGCTCATCCTTTTGGAGAATAGGGTTACCTATAGATCTTCTTGTAACACACACCAGAATATCCCAGTGGCCATTTTTGAGGCTCTGTTCCCGCCAGGTTCAACCTTGAGGAGTCTGTTGGAAGCGGTTCTTTGGGTGAACTGAATCATGGCAGCACAGGGCTCACTCTGATCCTTGGATTGCAGGCCTCCAGCTGAACCAGAAGGCCCTTACCACCTTTCCAGATGTGGTGGTGGTGCGGGTGTCCACACCCTCTGTGCAGTCAGACAGCGACATCACTGTCCTGCGGCACCTGGAGAAGCTGGGCTGTCGCTTGGTCAACCGCCCACAGAGCATCTTAAACTGCATCAACAAATTCTGGACGTTCCAAGAGCTGGCTGGACATGGGGTCCCCATGCCAGACACTTTCTCCTATGGTGAGTCTCCTTAAAAAACAGTAGGAACTTGTCTTTCCAAACCTTCTGCCTCTCTGTGTTTTCTCTCATCAGAAACCTTCCAGTATGACTTGCTTTTCAATGTGAGTCTGTTCATTTTAGGTGATTCAATATCTTGAGTCTTTATCCTGGCCATTCCCTCTGTCTGAAATGTCTTTGCTTTTTTCTGTCTGTAAGTCAATTGCCAAATATGTGTCTGTTGACACTACATGCCAGCCACAGTACCAGGCACAGGGTCATAGCAGTAAGAGTCCTTCCTGAGGTATTCCCAGTCCATCAGAGGCAGAAGACAACAGGTAAAAAGGGCAAGTTCAGTCCAGACCATTCAGTGTCTTGGTGAGACTTAGTGATCCCGGGTAATCCCAATGCAGTTTAGAAGACTTTAGAGAATGCTTCCTAAAGGAGATAACATCCATCTAAGTTGAAGTTGTCCTGCTAAAAGAAGGGGTATGGGAGCCGGGGTGTAATCTAAGCAGAGAGAACATTGGAAGACCTGGTGGTAAGAGAGAACCTGATCTATTGGTGGTATTGAGAATTGTGTGTAGAATGTAAAGAGAGAGAAAATTGAACTCTAGGATTGGAAAGATCAAACGGTGCCATAACAGCACAAAAATGAGATAGGGTTAATCCAAGATTAACAGGAAGTTATCAGAGGATTTTCATCAGGGAGGTGGCCTGGTCAGAGTGACAGGGCAGAAGATCACTTTGATTACTCTGTGGAGAAGGAATTGGATGGGGCCAAGTAGAGATAGATAAGAAGTTAATCACAGGAATGATATCCCATCATATTTACTGGTCCCCGCCATGTTCAAGAGGGAATTCTACAAGGAGTGCTCACTGGGGGTGGGAATCTTGAGGGCCATCCTAGAATTCTGCCCCCCACAGCCAGGATTATATGAACTGGAGCTACGGGCACCCTCCACCACACAGGTGCTTGGTAAATCTTGATTTCCATACCTCTCTGCTCCCACCTTTTACATTACAGGCACATAATGTATGTCTGTTGGATCCAATGGGTTTGAATTGTCTTAATCAGGGAGATATGAAGCCTCCTGCAGAAGGGGCTGGGATGACCACTCCCTGACAATCAGCTTTATCTTTGCTGACTCTCACTCTTTCTTGGCAGGTGGACATGAAGACTTTTCAAAAATGATCGATGAAGCTGAGCCCCTGGGCTACCCAGTCGTGGTGAAGAGCACGCGAGGCCACCAGGGTCAGTGCTTCCCTTCCTGGGCTTTCCTGGGTGATCAGTCTGCAAGGGCAGCAGCTCCACCTGCACAAGTGGAAGCTCTGCTTGAGGAGCTTGCAGGGTGATTCTCCTGGTCCCCTCCACTTGGTCCTCTCTGTCCTTGCTTTTGTCCTCTTTTCTTGGGCTATTGCAATAGACATCTGTCTTTATTGATGGGTTTCTGAGCTCCTCTGCTAGTGCAACCTCTGTTCATCTTATTTTATTCATTTATTTTTTTGGGGGGAGGAGTGATTTCTCTGAAACAGATCTATTCTTGTCACTCTTTTGCTGAACAGCCCCCACTGCAGCCCCTGTGTTGCTGTTAGACTAAGTCCATATTCCTTATCATGGCACTAGGGCCCCGGGCAGACAGCTCAACCTTCCTTTGCAGCCTTCTCTGGTCATGTGGACCCCTCCTAGTCCACTCCCCACTGCCTCTCATTCACCAGCTAGACCATGCTTTTTCCTCTCCATAATCCTTTGCCCTCTTCACTTTTCTGGGAGCACCATCTTCCTCTGCCCACCTGGTCAACTTTGGCTCATCCTATAAGGCCAGCTCCTAATACCATTTCTTTTCCATCCTCATCCTTGGTCTCCCTTACTGTCTTCCAGACAAAATTAATTGCTCTAGCCTTTTCGTTTCCGTATCACTTTGTACATGTTTCTGTCATAGTGCTACTCCTGATGACCATTTTAGGTGTAAGTGCCTGTTTCCTTCATTAGACTGTGAGCAGCTCAAGTGTAGGGACTAGATTCTGAACCTCTGTCTCTGTGAGGCCCAATGCAGGGCTCGGTGCATACCAGGGACTCAGCAGAAGAGAGCGTCCTCCTGTAATATGTGAGCAGGTAACTCTCCAAGAGGCCCGGATGGCATAGCATGCTTAGGCTCAGGGCATCTGGAGAAGGGGAAATAGCCCCAAACAGGTATGTGATGATAGTGTCTGTGATGTAGGATCTGTGACATAGAAATGAACCAGACATAATCACTGCTCTCAAGGAGACCCAGTGAGTAGACCACAGAGGGGTTCCATTGCAGGGTGATGACCACTCTAGCAGACAAGCCTGAAGGAGGGAGGAGTCCACTCTGCCATGAAAGGAGACTTAAGTTACCATGTAGAATTTGAACTGGAAGAGATGAGTGAACACACAGAAGCAAGTGTGAACGAAACCGCTAGTGGGAAAAGAAAAGACTATTGAGCAAGAGAAGTTAGCAAAGGGGAGCTTTGATACTATTCACATAAGCTGCTGTGCTAAAATCTAACCAATCTCATCACTATTTTTAAAAATTGTGAAATGTACATAAAATGCAACTAAGTTTATCAAGTGCCTATAGAATTCCATGTACTATTCTAGATTCTAAGGATAGAGATAAGAACAACACATGGGCTTGGGATATAGCTCAGTTGGTTGAGTGCTTGCCTTGCCTTGCACAAGGCCCTGAGTTCAATCCCCAGCACCCCCCCTACACACACACACACACACACACAAAACAACACAAAAATTCTTGTCCTCAAGATGCTTACATTATAGAAAAGTGTGATAGTCAATAAACAGAAATGAAACATAACATGTAATATTTTTTGAAGTTTTAAAAATTGAGATATAATTTATAGGTATTCCTAAATACTTACTACTGTTAAGTTATAAAATTCAGTGGATTTTAGTATATTCACTATGTCTTATGATAATAACCACTATCTAATTTCAGAACATTTCTATCTCCCCCCCACCAAAGAAACCTTGTACCTGTTATATCAAAATGGACTCTACTGTCATGTATAACTAGAAAGAACCAATAAAAATAAAAATTAAAAAAAAAAGTTAGTCCTAATTGCCCTTTCCCCATTCCCTGGAAACCACTATTCTATTTTCTATCTCCTTGGATTTGCCTGTTTTGGACATTTTTAAATAAATGGATTCATATAATAGATGGACTTTGGTGTCTGGCTTCTTAGCATGTTTTCAGAGTTTATCTATGTTGTAGCATGTAGCGCTGCTCTACCCCTTTTGTCAGTGATACTCCATTGTATAGATATACCACATATTGTTTACCTGTTCATTGGTTGGTGGACATTTGGGTTGTTTATTTCCACTTTGTGACTATTAAGAATAATGCTACTATATGAACATTTGTGTACAGGTTTTCATGTGACCAGACATTTTCATTTCTCTTGAGTATCTGGAAATGGAATTGCCAAGTGCTGTGGTAATCTCTGCTTCACTTTTAGAAGACTGCCGAGTTGCTTTCTACAGTGGTTATGCCATTTTATATTCCCACCAGCAACATCATATGAGAGTTTCCTTTGCACACGTCCTTGCCAATGCTTGTTATTTTCTATGTATGTATGTATGTATGTTTATTAGAACCATCCTAGTGGGCATGCAGTGGTTATTTCCTTATGGTTTTGATTTGTATTTCCCTAATGACTGATGATGTCAAGCATCTTTTCATGTGCTTAGGGGCCATATTTAAATTTTCTTTGGAGGAAAATTTACTCAAATCCTCTGCCCATTTTTAAACTAGTTCCTTTATTTTTGAGTTTTATAGGTTCTTTAATGTGGATACTTGACTCTTCTTAAATATATAATTTGAATTTTTTGTTTTTAACCATTTTGTATGTTGCCTTTTCATTTCTTTCTTTCTTTTTTTTTTTTTTTTTTTTTTTAGGTACTGGGGATTGAACCCAGGGGTGCTTAACCACTGAGCCACATCCCCAGCCCTTTTTTTTCATATTTTATTAAAGACAGGGTCTTGCTGAGTTGCTAAGTGCCTCACTAATTTGCTGAGATGGGCTTTGAACTTGTGATCTTCCTGCTTCAGTTTCCAGAGCCACTGGGATTATGGGCATGTTCTTGGTAGTGTCTTTGGTGCACAAAAGATTTTTTATTTTGATAAAGCCAATTTTATTCTTTCTTCGGGTTCTGTGTGCTTTTGATGTTATTTTTGTGCCTGCCTAATCCAAGGTCACATTGATTTATGTAAGCTTCCTTCTGAGAGTTTTATAGTTTTATATCTGAGTCTTTGATCCATTCTGAGTTCATTTTTGTATATGGCATGAGGTCAGGGTCCAGTTTGATTCTTTTACAGGTGAATATTCAGTTTCCCCGGTACCATTTGTTGAAGAGACTATTTGTTCCCCATTGATTGCTCTGGGAATCCTTATCAAAAATTTGACCAGGCTGCAGATAAAGCTCTTTGGTAGAGTGCTTGCCTATGTGTGAGGCCCTGGGTTCAGTCCCTAAGCACTGAACAACAACAGTGAAAAACTCAGTTGACCATATATGTGAAGGTTTATTTCTGAGCTCTCAAACTTTCTTTTTTTAAAATCTGTATCTCAATTTCATGTCATTGACATACATGTCTGTCTTTATGCCAGGTCACATTGTCTTGATTACTATGTCTTCATAGTAAGTTTGAAATTGAGAAGTGTGAATCTTCCAGTTTTGTCTTTCTTCTTCAAAATTATTTTGACTTTTTGGGATACTTTGCAATACCATATGAATTTTAGGATTAGCTTGTTGATTTCTTCCAAAAAGGAAGTCGGAATTTTGATAGGGAATGATAGCTGAATTTGAGAAGTATTACCATCTTAACAATTCATGTCTTCCCATTTATTTAGATCTTTAATTTCTCTCAACAGCATTTTATCATTTCAGTGTGTAAATCTTGTACATCATTGTTTTAATTAATTCCTAAATACTTTAATCCTTTTGATGCTATTGTAAATTGAATTGTGTTCTTAATTTTATTTTCAGATGATTTGTTACTAATGCAACGTACAGTCTAGTAGAAGGAAAAATGGATAGGGAATAAACAGAGTTTCAGTACTTTTTTTTTTTTTAAAGAGAGAGAGAGAATTTTTAAAAAATATTTATTTCCTAGTTTTTTGGTGGACACAACATCTTTGTTTGTACGTGGTGCTGAGGATCGAACCTGGGCCTCACCCATGCCAGGCAAGCGCAATGCCGCTTGAGCCACATCCCCAGCCCCGAGTTTCAGTACTTTTAAGTTAGACTCTAGTATCAATGTCCTTTGGCATACACAGAGGATTGGTTCTAGGATCCCTCAGGGATACTAAAGTCCGTAGATGTATAAGACCCTTATATAAAATGGTATAGCATTTGCAAATAATTTACACATATCCTCTTGTATATTTTCAATCATCTCTAGTTTACTTACAAAATGTAATACAATGCAAATGTTATATAAATAATTGTTTTGTGTTGTTTAGGGAATCATGACAAGGAAAAATATCTGTACATGTTCAGTATGGATGCTGTGATTTTTAAAATAATTTTTTGGTCTGTGATTGATAAATCTTCAGATGGAGAATCCTCACATATACAGAGCCAACTGTATGGAATAAATCCAAGGAGGGAGTGAATGCACGGGCTGTGCCCATGAGAAAGTTACTAAGCTTATGGACCTTTTATTTCCTTATCCATAAAACAGAAATAACTGTCCTTACTCATGGCTTCATAGGACTAGTGTGAAGTGTAAATGAAATAATAAGAGAAAAAGTGCTTGGCACTTGGTAGATGATTAATCTTTGTGCCTTTCTTTTTTATTTTCCCTCCTCCTTGCCTTAAAACTGCTATTCCTTTGTTCATTGCAGACTAAAATCCCATTTTAGGACCTCTGAACCAATCCCTAGCCACCAATCTCTACTGAAAATCCCACCTAATGTCCAGAGAACTCCAGTGCTTCTAACTAAACCCCAGCCATCTGTTGCCAGATGCCTGATCTCCTGATGCCAAGTGTCTAACTGCTTATACTTCTGCTCATTAATTGAGACTTGGAACAAGTCAGATGCTGTTTTATGTCTACTCACTGTTCTGTGTCACTCCTGTTTCTTCCTGTGCCCTTGCAGGACCCTCTCTAAATGACACTGACTGCCCACTTAACTGCACACCCTCCTACCACCTGTCACTTGGACATCTTCAGATCACTTGCTTGCACTCCTCCAATTCTGTTGAATGTCTTGGATTCATTCAGGAATGAATTACTGGTTATGTCATGTTTTGGGAAGTTATTTTTCAGTCTTATATGCCACTAGGAACTGATGCCCATCAGTCTTTTTATTGAAACTTTGGAGGGCCAGGTGTGGTAGCACATGCCTGTAATCCTAGTAAGTTGGGAAGCTGAGGAGGATAATCAGCCTCAGCAACTTAGAGCCTATGACAAAATAAAAAATCAAATTGTCTGGAAATGTTGCTCAATGGTAGACTGTTCCTGGATTCAATCCCCAGTACTATTGCAAAAAAAAAAAAAACAACTTCAGAGAGTTTTCACTTCTTTTGTGATGGTGTCATGAAATTGGGAAAACCATTTCTTTGTTCTGTCTTTGCTGAAAAGAGTGTTCAGACTGGCATACTTAAGACAGATCTGCACAGCAAATCTTTTAGGAACCCCTGCTCAGATCTGTTGACTAATATGCAAATGAAAGCAGATACTGAAAAATTATAAAACCATAGGTGATTCAATCAGGAAATAAAAAGTTTAGAATCAAGAAGGAATGCTTTCCCAGAAAGCAATAGAAATATGGATCCTTCCTTTCAAAATTAAATAAATAAATAAATAATAGGACTTCTGTCAGGGCTCCCTACTTTGAGCTCCCATAGATTTTGCATAGACCTCTTTTAATGCAAATCATGCTGTATTATGGTTGCCTGTTTTGAATTTCTTTCCATACCCACTTCGGATTCCTCTAAAAATGTTCAATTAATTGTGCTCTGTAAACATTGATGGACATCTGCTTTGTATACCAAGCCCAATGTGAGATTTGGGGGATACAAAAAAAAAATGTGTTGGCCATGGACCCTGCCCAGTCATCATCCTCAGGAGATAGGAAATGCTAATTAACTCTTTCTGGAATGGATTTGATTAGATCCTTAGGATTTTACTTTAGCCCCTTCTCTGTATTTCTGGAATGCATTACTGTTTCATTTTGAGAAGAGTGGTGGTTTTCTCACGGGGAGAGACTCAACAGTTTTTTAAGACCTGAGGAAAATCAAGAGAAAATAAGGTTCAATGGCCATTTGATAAGAAGCAGGAGTCTCATCAGAGAAATAGAAAGGGCCAAAATGAGGTAAGTTCAGAGAGAACTGATGCGCATTTGGGACAGGGAGGCATAATGGCAAGGACAGGGGCCTGAGGCTTCCCTAACTGTTTCTCTTGCTCTTCATCTTTCTTCCTAAAGGAAAAGCTGTTTTTCTGGCAAGAGACAAACATCACCTTTCAGACATCTGCCATCTAGTCCGCCATGATGTTCCCTACCTGTTCCAGAAGTATGTGAAGGAGTCCCACGGAAAAGATATCCGGGTGGTTGTGGTAGGGGGCCAGGTGATCGGCTCCATGCTTCGCTGCTCCACAGATGGACGGATGCAGAGCAACTGCTCCCTTGGTAAGATATAAAGGCTCAGATTGGGTCTATGGGTCACCTGGATATTTCATTAGGCCGTTTGGACCTGCTTAGTAAGTGTATATCAATTCCTACTTTCTTGTCAGTCCTCCGTTAGGCGTCAGGGTCCCACAGAGAAGAATGAGAAATGAGCCCTTTCCTATGGCAGCAAGCAGTCCAGGAGGGGGACATGTGAGTGTCAGTGCTATGACAGAGGTCAGGGCAGGGATATCAAAGACACTGAGGTTTGAATCCTATCCTGTTGGTATTAGGACTTAGCAGTCCAAGTTAAACAAGGGATTGTTAGAGAAAATCATTTGAGAAAATCTCCCATTGGGGTAAAGGATGGATTAGAGTTGTAAGACAGGAGGCAGGGAGATGAGTTTAGAATCTCTTGCAGTGTCTCAGGCCAGGAACACCAAGGGTCTATATGAAGGCACCAACCCAGAGGAGAAACTATGTTTTGATTTCACGTGTTAATTGAAATTTTTATTTTCCTCTCACATACGATACTATTAGAAAGCTGCAGTTTATATTTTGGTTGAATGCATAACCCCATCCTTTTAACTTATTGATAAAGCCTGTTTTCTGTCATGGCTGAATGGAGGAGATATTCCAGGAGGGATGTAAATTCTTCTCTCCATCACAGAAAGCTATTGTCAACCTCATTGAATGACTTTTTTATGTTGGTAATTAAAAAAACCTATAGTTCCTATTTCCCAACTCACCAGATGAGTATGCCAATTCCAGCAAATAATTAAGAGGCTTAGACACTGGTTTAGTCCTTTTACCAGCATTCCTTGAGCACTCCGCAGCAGCTTTGCCGCAGATGTTGAGAGAATAGAGATTATAAGGCAGTCCTTGCCCTAGGCCAGCATGTGGTCCAATAAAGAGGACAAGCAAGCAGATAATTGTAAGATACTGTGTCGAAGTTGCGTGACAGGCAAGTGTGAGATTTAGTTTGACACAGTACTCCGTAACTTAGAGTTGTTTCATTTTCATGATAATCATGTAATGCTGCAGTGTTGAACTTTGTGGTTGATTATTTTGGTTTTTTGATTACGTCACTAAAGAACCATAACAGTTTTATAATATCCACATACTTTTTCCTGGTAAGCTCTTTTAAAACTGTTTTTAGCCTTTTCTTTACAAAATCATGTCCCAGGTGGGGAAAGGACAATATAAAGGTAAATATTGGGCCTGAGAATACAATTTTAAGTCTTTCTAGGGAGAAAAAGAAGTCTGAGGTCCTAGCTTTTTAATAAGTAAGGGCAATCAAACGACTCCTGTCCTTGATATAGGATTTTATCTCACAGTCCTCTCCATCTTTATCTTCTTAAAAATTAACATTTTTTCTAATCATAAAAGGAATACATTTTCAATGTAAAAAATTTGGAAAGTACAGCAAAGTCAAATGAAAAAAAAACTTATCATATCCCCACCATTTAGAGACAACTATTATTAACAGTTGGTATCGTTCTTCTCAATTGTTTTTTCTCGTAGATATTTTTTTGCAAGTTATCACCATAAAATACTATAAAATACCATCTTTAATTCTTCTGAGTCACTTCCTAAGGGCTTACAAACTCTATGAGCATTATCATTAATGGTTATAAAATGTGCTATTTTCTTCTGTTGTGAGATGTTTAGATTATAATTTTTATGTCTAGATTCAACAAATATTTATTGAATGCCCTCTGTGTACCAGGAACTAGGATTTTTCAGTGTTTTAAACAATACTGCCATCAGCATGTTGGTGTGTAATAATTTTTTCCATGTACAAAATCATTTCGTTAGTGATGAGATAGCTGGGTAAGAAGTTCTCAGCTTTTTTAAGATTCTAGATAAGAAATATCCATATTATTTTTCCCCAAAGGGTGTCCTGATTTCCACCCAGGCCTTTTGTGAATAATGCCAATCATGCCACGTCTTATCAACAGTCCTGTGTCTTTCCTGAAGGATCATTTGACTCATTAGTGAGCATCTTTTGTTCCCTTGACATCACTGTGCTTTCTCCACAGGTGGTGTGGGCGTCATGTGTCAATTGACAGAACAAGGCAAGCAGTTGGCTATTCAGGTGTCCAACATCCTGGGCATGGACTTCTGTGGCATTGATCTTCTCATCAAGGATGATGGCTCCTTTGTGGTGTGTGAGGCAAATGCCAACGTTGGCTTCCTAGCCTTCGACCAGGCTTGCAACTTAGATGTGGGGGGGATCATTGCAGACTATACCATGTCCTTGCTGCCAAATCGGCAGACTGGGAAGATGGCTGTCCTCCCAGGACTGTCGAGTCCCAGGGAGAAGAAGGAGCCAGATGGCTGTGCTTCAGCTCAGGGAGTTGCAGACAGCCCCTACACCATCAATAACGGGTCTACCTCTAGTGAGAGTGAGCCTGAATTGGGAGAGGCCCGGGATTCCTCAGCAAACACAGTGGGGGGGCCTGCCCCCCATGCTTCCCGAGCCTGGATACAACATTAACAACAGGATGGCTTCAGAATTAAAGCTTGAGTGAATTTCTGCTTTTTGGCAGCATTTAAACCAAATCCTACTGCTTCCCTAGTAGTTTTGAGTGAATAAAATCTGGACTCATGTGATTTCATTTGCACAGAAACTAGAAATCCCATCTGGGCACTCAGCATTCTTTCTAATGATGATTTAAGCAAATGGCCTAGCTTTGTGGTTTTTACAAAGACATATAAAACACTCACCAAGAACAACATCTCAACTGATCGATTTGAGACCAGTGTCTGCTGTGAGCTCTTGGATATAATGGTAGACTTTCAGGCACTGACGCTGTGCTGCTTCTGGCTGGTAACAGTAGAGAACAAGAACTTAGAATATCTCCTGGAAAAACTGGACTTAAAAACAGCCATGAGATGGAGGCATGTGCAGACAATGTGGAATGTGACCGTAGCATGTTCTTCACTCAGCGTGTGTATGAGGCTGGGAGAACACACAGTACAAACACTGTTACAGGATCGATATCTGCTCCCCTCAATCACCATCTTGACCATATTTCTCTGACACTCAGGATATGGTGTTTTAGGGAGCTTCCTCATTTGCATTTTCAGTGAAGCACTTTGTAGAAAGTGAGATTGCACATTCTTTGACCTCACTGGTTGGCATATGTGCTGCTTTGTAACTGGGGCTTTCTACAAATTGCTTTGCCACTCTGAATTTATATACCCTGCTTCGACTAATGCCAACTCCAGCAGCTTCTTGCACCTTTGCTGCCTTTGGCCTCAGCTGGAAATGCACTTCAACAAGCTAGTGGCCACACACTTTGTTTCTTAAGCGTGCACTAGAATCTAACACCAAGGACTTTCTTTTCAATGGACTCTGTTCACTTGTCATCCAGAAGCCAATAGGTATTTACCATAGAAAGTCACTGGAAGATAATCACTCTTTCCCCTCCTCTTACTGAAACTTTATGTATTGCTTAGCTGTAGAAGTTTTTTCTCATATGAGTTGGTGTTGTGGGCCTGTCGGGTGGATACAGCTATTGGAAACGTACTCCAATCCCCTGGACATTCTACTCTTATCCAGGCTCCAGAAACCTGTCCTAACCCACTTTTCCAAACTGGGGAGACTCAGGTATCGGGAATTAACTCATTGCACATTTTTGGGAGGGGATTAACATAGACATGACACCAAGTGCTTTTCACTTTAACTCTTCAAGCAGTAGATGAGATCCTTCCCTTGGGAGAAATCATGGAGATGGAGTTTTTAATTTCTGCTTGTATGAAGTTTGACTGAAAACAAGCAATGACCAAATACACTGGAACAAATGCATTTAAGAGTTACCATCGTTGGAGTTATTCCCTTGGGAGATATCCTCTTGAGCTATGGTGTTGCATGCACCAAGAACACTTAGAATTCCTCTTCGGGATTATCTTTGAAGCCATGAAAGGAAAGAGGCCTCACAACTCAATAGTTAGACTTTGTTTTTTTGTTGTTGTTGTTTGTTTGTTTGTTTTTTAATCTCTCCCTGACAACCCAGTCAACCACCAAGATAGTGCCAAGCTCCATCACTTGTTTTATTTATCAGACTTGTTTTCTAATGCACTTTGGCTATAAAAAAAATAAATAATTCCTCAAAAAATACATGAACTCTTAAAGGACAGAGATTTACCAATACCAAGGAAGTTTACAAGTTTCCAAAGATGGTTCTAGAAATGTTCTGATTAAGGTCAGCTTCACTGGAATAAATGTACATCTTCCCAAGGTAACTACTTTAAAGACATCGCCACCCATTTGGCTGCATAATTCCTATGCTTACTCTGCTATAAATGTAAAATGTGTATAAAGTCAAGCTATTACATTTTCCCCACAACACATTTAAATAGAAATTGGCTCTTAAAGTATTATAGTTAAAAACCAGATCTCACCAAGTAACAGTTGTACAGTTGAAAAATGTTTGGTGCCATGTAATGGAGATGTCACACTATGCAGTTGTAGTTTAAATGCCGTCCAACATAGGATGCATGCCACTAAACTGTAACCCAAGCAATGTGTCTTGTACAATTGAAAAAATGATAATACTTCACTCTTCTATAGGTTAAGACATGTACCTTATTTTTAGCACTCAGGGTGGCTTTAGAAGGATGGTTTCAAGTTTATTCTTGCCAGAATTGGTCAGATGCTTTCTGTGTAAACCTCTGAACCAAGTATTGACCTCCTGGAAGCTGCATTCACTCGTCTTCCTACTTTATCTAAAAGGATGCCAGCAGGGCCCCATCCTGAGCTGCACAGCTAGAGTGTTTCCAGATCTCTTTGCCAAAGGAGGCCCATTTTCCAGCTGGGAGTGATATCTGTCATCATTGGCTTTATTGCCTGGAACTGGCCCTGTCTAAAAGCTGGATCACAGCTGTATCCTAGACCCCTCCAGGATTTCCTAGACCACAGCCGCCCATGGACTCCGAGTCTCAGCCACAACTGCCCAAAGCTGCTAGAAAGAACATGGGGTACAACACTAGACCTGGTTCTGGGTCTGCCCTTAAAATAGCTGTTCACCCTTGTGTAATCACTTGAGCTCTGGGCCTTCATTTTTCTCTTCTTCAGACAGGGGAAAGACCTCTTCTGTTCCCTCTTGGGGACACACTGAGGTTGAAGTGAGTTAATAAGTGAGACTGTGCTTTCCATAGAAGGTGGTAACAGAACACCTCTCTCATCTGGTTTTATACCAGCTTCTCATCACCCTCCTCTGAGGGAGTTAATAAAGGAAGAAGCCATCAAGTCTTGTCACTAGCAAAATAAACAGTGATGGGGCCCAGAAAAAGAAATGCAGCTTCTGGAGGACTTCTTTCTAGTCGCAAGGAAACATTACCTGAAAAGAGTAAGGCTCATGGGGTATTCAAAGAGCCTTCTGGATGTACCATATATAACCTGAAACCCAACTGCTGTATACCAACTAAGTAAGTCTTCCTTATGTAATATAGATTCAGTGTCTGTATATGGTCTTCCCATTATTTGGTAGTAGCACCTTGAAACTGGTCAAAACCTGAATGTCAATAGCTCAGTCACTCAGAATATATATGATTCTGCACTTGGGGAAAATGTCTTCATGCTATCTGTCTGATTGGGTATGGGGTGGTCTTTAGGGTCTGAGAAACAATATAAATGGCTCATAAGTAATTCCTGCCACAATTGCAGACTCAATGCTTCCAGCTAAGGAATGCCATACAGTTGGGACAGGGCAATGAAGAAAGAGGAGGAGTAAGATCCAGGATAGTTTTGTGAAAGAAATATGAAACCAGGAGTACTTGCAGGAGGAAAAAAATGCTTCTTGTATGGGTTATATTAAGGAAAGAATCACAAATGTATTGATTAGAGGTAGATGTCTTTGAAACTGCTCTGAGATGCATGGACTTCTGTCGACACTGGAGAAGTGAGGGAAATGTGCTTTATCTCTTCTGTAAGTCCTGAGGAAAACTGGTCTTGAGGATACTCTGAATGTAAATCTTGAGAAGATTGAAGCAGCTAATTAGTGGGAGAGGTCCCAGGACCATCAAAGTAACAGCTAGCCCTCCCATAAGTGAATGGACCAAAATACCAGGCCCTGCAAAGACCCCGGCCATGGTTTACTGATGGGAGTAAAGGGACTCAGGTAGGAGAGGAAACCCAAGCTCAGTCAAACAAGTTACTTCAGCTTAGTATTTCTCTTTGCACCTGGAGGTGAGGCCTCTGTTTACTATTAGTCTGTGCAGATGTTTTAGGAAAGCCCTAACAACAGCTATTTGTCACTGCCCCTGAAGTTAATGTTCTTAGACCTAGGGCTGTAACCTAATAGAAAACCTGGTATTGCTTTTGACTCTGCCTCTTAAACTCAAGATCAGTACAGATTGTTGCTTTGATATGTTTTTACCTGGAAGACTGTCCTTCTCAGGGATATATTGTTTTAATCTTTGCCTAAAACTAGATTATGCCTCCATTCTAATCTATGGCTCAGCTCCGAAGCCCCCATAAAACTCACGTGGTTGAGTATGAACTTTCTCCCTTCATGCCTTCCAATTTCCTTCTTCAGGTGCGGTTCCTATGCCAACACGCAGCTCTATCCTGAGCCCTTGGATGACATCCCAATGCTGTTTGGGGATGTTAGGTTCTCTGGGGCTCCAGAGCAACACTAGGAAAGTTTTCCTAGAGAGCCAGGTTAGAGATCTGGAATAGCAGCACTTGGAGACTAGTCTAGTCCCTATTTTACAAGTAGGGAATCCGAGTTCCAGAGGCTTTGGTTACTTAGCCAGTCAGCAGCAAGGCTGACCCAGACGATGTGATTCCCCATCCAGGCTAGTATAGTGTCAGAGGTGGCTCTGGCCCTCCATGTGTCTAGCACTTGCTGCCATCCTTGGTCCACTCTCTGCCCATTCCCCTTCTGATGAGACTCTGTTCTAGATCATCATGGTATTGAGGTGTGAGCTGTCAAGGCTTCAGGACTGGATAGGTCTCAGTGAGAGCCCCAAAAGCAGGGTACAGTCTGCCTCCTAGCCTACACCTTAAGACTAGCCGAGACCATTTAGTTCCACCCCACACTCAGTGAAGGAATATGAGGGAGAAGACCTATGCTGAGCTGACCAAGGGCTTCTGTGGCCCCAATTTGGTTGATGTCTTTACTGCAGAGAGTCTTGGATGCCAAGGGTTTGAATTTCCTGAACTTTTTCCATGAGCCTCCCACCAGGGGGAACCCAGTTTGATATATTCACCAGCTGCGATCAGCAACAAGGTCAAAACTTCCCTCCACCTTCTGTTCCATGATGTATCCCCCCTTGCAGTCAGACTCAAGGCACAGATTCTTCCTGTTGTAATCCAAACTTCAGCTGAGGACTTCAGATCCAGATGGGTTTGAGAACTCTAGGCTCCTGTTCTGAGTCCCTGCATTTCTGTGGTTTCTAAGGGATTTGTGGGTTTTGTTTGTCTGTTTTGTTTTTTGGGTTCTGGGGATTGAACCCAGGGGTGCTTTACCACTGAGCCACATTCCCAGCTATTTATTTATTTATTTTTTTAATTTTGAGATAGGGTCTCACCTAAGTTGCTTAGGGCCTCACTAAATTTCTGAGGCTGGCCTTGTGATCCTCCTGCCTCAGCCTCCCAAGTCTCTGGGATTACAGGCATGTGCCATGGTTCCCAGTGGGACTTGTGCTTTTAAAGCTACTGCTGACTCCAGACTTGCACTACCTCATTTTCAGCAACAACATTGTCTCATCCCTGCTCCGCATCAGCTAAGACGAGAAGTTCTGTCCCCTCCCCCACTCCTGCATACAGCAAAATTCAAATGAGCGTTTGAATGTGTGCGTGTGTGCGCATGTCTCAAAGATATGGGAGGGAATGACAGACACTGCCATAATGCAGACGTGGCTCAACCCTCATAGCGTGTTCTTTTCATACATTATAGAGGAATCTCCGCTAATCTTCCGCTCCCTGTCTCCCTCCCTCCCTCCCTCCCTTGAGACAAATCCAGTCCACTTGTGTTCTCAGGCATAGCTATGCCTTTTCTTATCCTGATTCCTGGCGATACCCTTCCCTCCTTTCACCTTCCCTTTACCATGGTTGGCTTATAAAAGGATTTTTCTAAACGAAGACGGCTCCCCAGGTCCAGGGGAACCTGAACGCTGTGGTGTAGTTCCCCTTCCCACTATACTAGCTGGGCACCGCAGCAACCACAGTCCTTCCTGGATGAAAGCAGCACGCCTGCAGAAGGCAAGAGGACTAATTTGAAAGGCACCAGTTTGAGTTAGAACTAGTTCAAATCCTAACCCATTGTGTGATCCTGGGGACAGTCACCTCACCTTGCTAAATCTTATTTTTGTCACCTATCAATGTGACCAATAAACACAGTCTTGAATGTGAAGCATTCAACCACCCGCATGCCTTTCTTTGGGTTCCCTTCCTCTTGCTCCCCTTCCAAGAGCAATCACAAGCAGAGCTTTCCTGTGATTGTGGCTAGGTGCCAAGGGATAAAAGCTGTCAGACAGCAGCTGTACAGCTGGGGAAAGAGATGGGAGGGGAGGATTGGCGGCTGCTCAAGCGTGCTGTGATTTGGGCTTAATGATTGGAAGGTCTCATCCATCCTTGAGATTCCATGAGACTGTAGTTCAAGATACAGAGGATATAAGTGGTTCAGAAAAATCCTGGAGGAAAAGCTGTCTCAGACAACTGGGAGGCTGAAAAGCTGAGCAGCCTGACCTTGGATGATTTAGCACCTGATTTTTTTTGGCTTTTCCCTTATTAGGTTTGCTGGCATTGCATCAAATGGAAGGAGGAGGTGCCAGAGACTTGAATTAAACCTGTCAAATAGGGTGAGGGGAGTGCAGAAGGCTGAGAGGGGAGTGCTGTGTCGAGAACTCGGATAGCCCGTCAGCACCATCTGGACTTGGCAGGGATGGCAACCCTTAGATCAGATGGAAATACCCAATAAAATGGCTAAAATTTTGCTGTCCTGGACCTATCCCAAATAGGACTACCAGAATCTATTTGGGAGGAATACTGATTTCCTATAAAGGGAGATCTAACCCATTGTGTTTTTCCTATAAAGGGAGAGATGGTAGTCCTTAGTCACTGAAGAACTATTAAAGGTCTCTGTGAAGGCGGGACTAGGCCCGTGTCTGTTGTGGCGGTCCCCAGGGCTCCAGTGGTGTGCTAGAGCCACTTTTACCAGCTCATCAGAGTGGATTGTTACATTTTCCAGAATGTTCTGAGCTAGTTTATTAAACACAGCTATCATTAAAGATTAAATTATGTAAATCTACAAGTATATTCAAAACATAGATAATACCTACCCCAAACTCCTCACTTCTTATTTTACTATTATTTATGTTCTGAGGTTATTGACATGTATATATGTATGTATAATGGTGTGCCACTGCACATCCCTTACCAAATTTGCCATTCAGTGACATGGTAGCTCCGAATCAGCCCTGGTGAGAATATTTACATCACAGAAATGGGCAAGCACCACATATCAAGGTTGTCAATCCTCCCTGCCCCAGAGCTAGTTGTTATCAGCATACCACTGCCACTGGGAGACAGAGAAAACGTATTGATACATATAAAGGGTTGCAACATCTTAGTTGCCAGGGAGGTAGGATGTGTGAAGATTTTCTCAGCAGCGAGTGTCTGGTTATAATGTGCATAACTGATTTGAAGTAAAAGAAAACCAGTGGAAAACACTGCTTCTCGGCTTGTTTTGTCTACCTTCTGTTTCTCACAGGTGGAAAAATCTGTTTCCTTCGCTTCAAAACTTTTGGAGCAATAGAAACAGTGCCCACCCACCCCCACGCCCGCCCAGGTGAGGCTCATCTCAATCTCTTCTGAGAGAGGTACAGTAGCTAGATTCCCTCCAGGAAAGTGCGCTGCAGGTTTTTCTGCTTAATTGTACTGTGAAGAATAGATCTTAACAAGGCATCAGAATAGCTCGTTTCCAAGTGGTTTATACAGCAATAACAATGTTAACTCTTCCAACAGAGAAGAAGTCGTTTATAAATTATTGTTTTGCTATTTTTGCTTTTTATTAAAATTATGACTGTGGAACAGAATGCTTTGCTTGCCTTTGTTCCCAAAATTCTATGCCTTTTGGTTGTTCTTTTAAAGTAAGAATCACATGCTGAATCTACATTTTACTATTTTTCATATCATAAAATGAGGGAAATGCTTCATAGAAACTTCATCCTATTCACTTGCACACCAGCTGCATTCCGGAAAACCATAATTTTCCTTTCAAACGCAGAGTGCTGTCAGAATTGTAATATTGCCAGCTCTCGACTGTCAAGATGATGGAGGAAAATACTACTGCAGATGGTATAAGCTTGTCAGGGGTCCACTCAGCGTGCTTTCCTAGACTGACACTTGAATTAAGACTCAAATGGCAAATGAAAACTGAAAGCTGTTGAAAATGGCTATGTGCTGCCATCAGAGGGCCCCTGGGACTAAAAGAACCTGTGTGCCCACCCAGAGAACTGACAGGTCAGCCAGAGCCAGCAGGACTGTGCTCTCCTGACATGCAAGAGGCTTTCTGGGAGAAACAGTGATAAGAACTTTGGAAACAAATTTATGGTCAATACCAGGTCTGGGACCCTTGAACTAAGGCTGTTCCCCAACTTCTGAGGGTCAGGGAACCTAACCTGACTAGGATAGTCACAGGGATAATGACTGATGGATCCAGCCAAGAAGGATTTAGGATTTGATACTAAATCACCACTCCTATTGTCTTTCAACTCCTACACTAGAAGGGTGACCTCTATTTCATTTTTTTCCTTCTTTTATATGAAAATCTTCAAACTACACAGTAGTGAAGAGATAGTAAACACCCCAGATTCTGAAGTTACCAAAACTTTCTATTTTTATCTCATCTGTCAATTTTCATTAAGCATTTTACAACAAATTGTACATACACATACCATCTTTTCTCCCATACTTCAACAGGCATCTCTTCAAAAAAAAAAAAAGAAAGAAAGAAAGAAAGAAAGACCATTTCTTCATGCCTTTACCACATATAAAAAAAAAATGTTCCTTGGCACCATTTAATTCCAAGTCCACATTCAGATTCCCCATTAGACTCGTAAAGAACTGCCTATAGCTGCATCATAGACCAATGGATTTGGTGGGGCAGGAGGCACATGGTGCTTGCTTCCCCTCTATCTTGAATGTGGCTCTGGCAGAACCATGCAGAAAGGGCACTAGTGAAGAGACCTTTAGGCTGGCTATAGATATCTACCATGTGGGTGAATCTTGAGATTGCCTTCTATTCCCAGTGTCCTGTGGTCTTCCTCTGAGACATTCCCAGCTTCCTGCCACTAGCATAGCATCCAGCTGTCCTGTCATACTGGTACCTACAGCTCTTCCATTGGTTACTGCTTTCACTGCAGGGATTTCCTAAACTGGGGACGAGAACTCTCCCTAGGACTCTTCCACCAGCCTTGGGTCTATGTATTCTGTAACTCAAAGCCCTTTAGATTCTCCCAAAGGCATTGGGAGAATATTTTGGAATATTCTAATATTATTAGAATATTTTGGCTGAAATTTTCATAAGACAAGCGAGGGAACATTTGAGTAGCAGTATTTGCACCACATCTAAAGGCACTCGTGACTAAAGAGACATGGAAACTGGATGCACTGTCTGCTCAGGGATTTACTCGTACTTGGGACATTGAGATGATTGAATCAGTAAAATCTGAACATGGTCTGTATTGCATCGATGGATGGCTTTGTGTCAGTGTTAATTTCCTGATTTTCATGATTGTGTGGATGAGAATATGTAAGACAATGTCCTTGTTTTAGGAAAATACACATTAAATATTGAGAGAGAAAGAGACACTGTGTCTGAAAATTACTTTCAAATGGTTTAAAAAACAACAGGTGTTTTTAGAAGAAAAAAGCAAATGTGATGATAATATGTTAACATAGGAGGAATCTAGGAGAAAAGTATTATGGTAATTTGAATAGTCATTAAATAAGTCTACAATTATGTCATCCTCCTCCTCTGGGTTTGCCTCTGCTCCATTAAGTGCCCAGTTTCCTTGGGCATTCCTATAGGCTCTTTTCCTTATCTATATTTCATCCCTAGGGGAATCTCCATTTCCATGTTACTAATGACCATCTACATGATACTCTCAAATTTCTCTTGAACCCCAGTTTCTTTTATTAATGTCAGACTGCATATCCAGTCGCCCACCTTCATCTCTCCTCTAATGTTTCATAATACCTCAAAGTCATCACACTGCAGACGGAATTCATGTTTTCATCTCTCTCCGACGTCCCTGCCTCTCTTCCAGGGCTTCCTCACCTGAGTGCACAATACCATCCACTTGTTTAAACCAGGAAACCAAAACAAAAACTACAATGGTTTTTGTTATTATTTTTTGCTATTATCTTCCTTAATCTTGATATCTAATTTTGTTTCTTGTGGTAAAACTTTCAAACTACCTACCGTTTTTTTTTTCATTAAAAACTTTTTCTTTTCTTTTTTGGCCAGGTTAATTAAGATGTTCTGGGAGACCTACAATCCTGACAAAAGTTTGCAAGCAAGGGACAATGTTTAAGGGATTATATAATCCTGGTTTTATAGTCTGTTCCTAATAGTAAACTTGTTCTTATGCTTTTAAAACCTGCTACTACTAAAAAAAAAATCTGCTACTTCTTATTGATATATTTATTAGCTATTGAAGTTGTGTGTTTGTGTATGCATACATATGAAATAAAATATTTACCTCCATTACTTTGTCATTGATCTTGATGAATAAAAAGAAAGACATACTTTTACTGTTGAGTGAAAAACTGGCACAGTTCTGTCATTCCAATAATGCTTCACCATCTTTTTTTTTTTTTAATTTTAATATTTATTTATTTATTTAGTTTTCGGTGGACACAACATCTTTGTTTGTACATGGTGCTGAGGATCGAACCCGGGCAGCACGCATGCCAGGCGAGCGCACTACCGCTTGAGCCACATCCCCAGCCCCTCACCATCTTTTTTGAAGCGTTTATTTGCAAAATGTTTATTTCATGTGACCTACTGTTCCTGACAGATGTCAAACTTTGTAGTCATTGTGAATACAAAGATACTTCATTTGCACGTGTAGCTATTGTCGGACATGGTGAGGCCTACTAATAGTAGAGCAATTTTATTTGAATCATGGTCCTCTAAGGACTACTCCACAGTACAGGCCCATAGCTGTGCAATGATAAAATGTTACCTAGTAAGAATGCCAAGCACCTACTTCTCTCCTCATTTTTGTTAAATAAAGGTCGATTTTTGTTAAATAAAGGTTCATAGACAATATGATGTGATTTCTAACATTGCATATGTGCTTGCAATGGAAAAAAATTAATAGGATCTCTCAGGGACAATTCATAAGCTCTACCCTGCAAATTCTGCCAAAGATACTTAGGAAAGATAGGATTACCTGGTGGGAGATGAATAGCAGCACTTGTATGACTCTCTGAGGGACCCTCAGCATTATCAGAGCTCCTGGTCTAGTCTTTGGAGTCAAATAAACCACATTTCACAGAGCTTTTTGGAATTGAGATTATTTCCTGCATCACTATATCATGCATAAAATGAAATACATTTTCATTCAAGAGCCAAAAACTGGGGGCAAATAAATATTTTCATATTAATAAAAGAAAGAAAATCTAAGAATTTGCCATCAGCAAACCCTCATTATAGGAAGTACTAAGATTTATTAGTAATGTGAGCCCGGATGGAAGGTATGAGAGCAAAAAATACGAAAACATTATAAAATGATAATTATGATTTCTGAGTTTAAGATATATAGGAGGAGCAGGGTTGTGGCTCAGTGGTAGAGCACTTGCTAATATGTGTGAGACACTGGATTTGATTCTCAGCACCACATGTGAATGAATAAAATAAAGGTCCATTGATAACTAAAAAATATTTTTTAAAAAGATATGTTGGAAATAAATAGCAGTAATAACATATAAGTTGGTTGGGGTAAATATAGTTGAGGATCTAAAGACTGTCTTTTGCAGATGAAGGTTCCTGAATATTAGATTTTGATAACTTAGAAATGAATGCTTCAATTTCTGGAACAATCACTAAAAGTACAAAAACACAGGCTATAACCAACAGACTAACAGAGGGTGAGAAGAAACAGAGAGAAAGTTATGTAATCAATCCAAAAGAAAGGGGGAAATATAACATGAAGGACAACTGGAAAGCACAAAATAAGATTATAGACTTAATCCTAAATAATTTAGTATGTAAACAAAATATAAATGAACTAAATGATTCTTTAAGAATCACAGATATAATATATCTAATCTCATTATTTTTGTAAGAGATTCATCTAGAACATAAAGATATAGAATAAAATAAAGGGTTTGCAGGAAGAATGTCAAGTGTTTCAGTCAGTCAGGAAAACAGAAGCCTCCCTAAGTATTGTGAATAAGCAGATTTATTTAATGGAGGGAATCAGAAACTTACACGATCTTTAAAATAGCTGAGTGATAAAAATCAGAAAACAAAGGTCAGCAAGCTGCTTTCACAGGAAATATGCTTTCAGGAAAACAAGAACGGATTATTCTTGGAGAGATTCATGAGTGCTCCATATGCAACTTCCAAATCTTGAGCAGTTGGCCCTCACTGGCAGAATTTTACCCTTAGTCATTAAAGAAAGGGCACAATGGGAATTGACTTCCAAGCTCCTCCTCTAAGCAGAAGTAAATGATGAAGGCAGTAGTGAGGATACCTAACTGACAACAAATAATCCAGCCCCCAAGGAAATGGGTTCAGCTTTATTAAGACCAAAATAGACTAAGTCAAAAGCTTTGGTAGAGACAATACAAAAATTCAATTCACCAGGAAAACATAATTCTATTTACATTTATATGGCTAATAACAAAACCTTAAAGTATATTAAGCAGAAATTGACACAACTATAAGGAGAAACAGATAAATTCATGATTATATACCTCTCTTGAGAATTAACAAAAATTTGGCAAAAGTCGGGCACAGTGGCACATGCCTGTAGTAATCCCAGTGGCTCAGGAGGCTGAGACAAGAGGATTGCAAGTTCAAAGTCAGCCTCAGCAACTTAGTGA